GCAAGTTCATGCATTACTCAGTGCCGGGCATTAGCAAGCTATCTTAAGAGCACTTCTGAAGCGGATTTGAAGAGCATTGCAGCTACTCTACAATGCAGAAGAGAGCATTTTCCTTACAGAGCTGGTTTTGCAGTTTCCTCAATAGATGATGCCATTTCGCAGCTTGAAACTTTCTCATCGCCAGTGCTATCGTCATGTTTGGATAATTCTAACATTTGCTTCTTTTTCGCACCACAAGGCGTTCAATACCCAAATATGGAAAAGGCCTCGCTGGAACATGCCGACGTACTCACGCAAGAACTTTTGCGCCTTACTTCGTTTGCATCCGATCTTTTCCGCGAAGACTTCATGGCTCTGTTATACCCCGATGATTTGAGTGACAAAAGGGTATTTGACGCCAGATATGCGCAGGTAGCTGTATTCTTGATAAGCAAAGCGATACTGGCGCAGCTAGAACATTGGGGAATATCTTCAAATGTGCTTTTGGGACATAGTGTAGGCGAGTATACTGCAGCTAGCTATGCTGGTATACTGGATGAGAACGCTACCGTTCGTCTTTTGCAAAAGCGAGCGGAACTTGTATGCAAAACCAGAGCCGCTCGAATGTTAGCAATAACTGGGAACAATGTTCGCATTCCTCACGATGTTGAAGTTTCTGCGATTCTTTCAAACGATATGAAATGCGTTGTTGGAAGCCCTAAGTCCATAGAAGACTTGATAAAGCAACTTGGGCAGCAAAAAGTGCCTTATAAAGAACTGACCACGAGCCATGGTTTCCACACCTCGATGATGACTGCGATAAGGAAAGACTTTGAGAAACTCCTCAAAAGTGTACGGTTTCATCCAGGAGAAAAGAATATTGTGTCAAATGTTGACGGAAGAATAATCACTGATTTCAATATTGACTACTGCTGTGAGCACATGATTCAACCAGTGAATCTCAAGAAGTGTCTTGACACAATACTAACAAACAAGGACATTCGGGTGATTATAGAAATTGGGCCTTCCGGTATCCTCAAGCATCTCGTAGACGAGAGGAATTCTGAGATTCGCATAATCAGTACTGTCAAGGGACGCTCAAAAAGCTCCAAAGTACATTCCCAGCTCTTTCAATCTCTTGCTGACCTGTGGGCTTCTGGGTACGATGTT